GCAAGGACGCTATTTCTTTATAACCTCATTAGAGTACATTCTGTACCCCCTGGGAGCTCAGTGAATGTTGACTGACACTTGCAGAGATCTTCAGCTAGGCTGTCAATTCTGTGTGTGTTCATGGATTTTGGAGAAACTCATGCAAAAAAGTGTGAAGTCTTTTCCCCAAGTGACATGGTGATTTTAGTGTCAGAGTCAAGAACAGAGCCTAGGTTTCCTTTTTCTTCTAGCTACCTAAAAAACTGTTTGTCATCTCTATCCTAAATGAACCAGAAAGTCTGAAAAATTGTCATGCAAAGCAACTTATATGCAAAATGTTCATTTAAAATAATTTCCTATTTTAAAATAGTTGCACAGCTTATCAAGGTGAATGTGCCTTTGTGTCTTTTTGTCTTCCATCTCTCCCTGAAACATTTTTGGTGGGAGCAGTGACAAGAGACCATCAACATCATTTCTGAGGACTGCCATAACTCTGATCATTTTCTTTACAACATATAGTCTATCCGATTTCACCACTCAGCCATCTCCTAGGTAACTAGCACTTAGCCAACGAAACAGACTGTCCACAGTGAAAGGAAATTAAAAAAAAATTAAACTGCAGTGTTTACACTTTTTTTGAATACTTGATTTGCTTAAAATATTTTTTTGAAGTTACCAGGTTTCAAAAAAGTCTGTTTCACTTCTCTATTGAATTTTGATCTCTTTGCCTAGTTTGTGACCCTACTCTTCCCTTGCAAATAGATGTCTCTGCAGTACAGTCAGTGTAAGTCCATGATAACTGTCATCTGTCAAAGACTAAATTTTAATTCCTAAGGGATTACAGTGATTGAGTTTGACCCAAGTCCTCATGAATGAGTGGCAGAGCAGATCTAATTCCACAACTTATTTGGTTAGGTTTTGTGGGTGTTCATTTTCTCCTCTCTCTTTTTTTAATGTCCCTTCCTGTGGGGGTGTTTTCCGTTTGATGCACTTTATTTCCTTAGTAACTGTTGCATTGTTATGGGAGGGGCTTAATGTCATTCTCAAGTACATTCTCAAGTCAAACAATTTATTTCCTGGTTAGTCTTCCCCCATCTTCGTAGTATGAAGAGAACATCTATATTGGCACCTGAGTGATGGGCACTTTGGATTTAGAATAAAGGTGCGTGAGGGAGTGGCTTAGGAGTATTCTGACCTGAGGTGAGTCTTTCTCCCTTTTCATCCTTTCCTTGCCTCTTTTTAAGGTGGTTTTCTTCTTCTGAGACACTATAAGGGTCAAACATTTAGGGATTTATGTTTGGGAAAACGCTTAATTTTCTTTGGTACAGTGGAAAGGTACTTACTAGCTATGTGACCTTAGGTAGTCACTTTACCTCATTGACCTTCAAATTCCTCATCTATAAATGGTCTAGATGGTCTGTAAGGATGCTTTAAGCTCTGAATCTTTGATCCTATCATCCTACAAATACTGAAGAGATTTGAGTTCTAATCTCAGTCCTGCTATTTGCTATTTGTTACTGACTACTTCAGTATCTCAAGGCTGCAATTTTCTCATTTGTAAAAAGAGGGAGTTGAATGAGATGATCTCCAATGTCTCTTCTAGATATAAAATTCTGTGCTTTTTAGAAATATATTAGAAAAATGAAGAATCCATTCATTTGCCCAACTAATCAATTCAGATATCTTGTCATTATTATAGTATAACCATTCAATATCTAACACAATGTGAAGGGCTCATAATTTGGAGAATTAATTTTTAAAGTGTTTCTTGAACATCTCTTGTGTGTACAGTCCTACATTTGAAACAGAATACCTAGGTAGATATTCTGAGGTAGACGTAGACTTCTTTCCCTAATTAGGGAAAGAAGAGTTTTATTTGTTGTTGTTGTTCAATCACGTCTGAGTATTTGTGACCCCATTTGGGGTTTTCTTGGCAAAGATCCTGGAGTGGTATGTCATTTCCTTCTCCAGCTCATTTTATAGATGAGGAACTGAGGTAAACAGCTGAAGTGACTTTCCTAGGGTCACACAGCTCGTAAGTGTCTGAGGTTAGATTTGAACTCTTCCTGATTCCAAGCCCAGTGCTGTATCTACTGTGCCACCTAGTTGCCCTAAAGAAGACATAGATAAACACAAAATAGGTAAAGCATATGAAGGCGATAATAGGGTGACATTTGTTACTTTGACTTTTCAATATTTAGGAAGAATCACCATATTAGCTGTCATTCTCACTGAATTTTGTTGGTGTCCATGAAAGCTATGTAAATGCTAGGCAAATTAATCAATTGAGAGAACAGATTGATGAAAAGATAAGCCAACTGTAACTCTGGACAGTGAAGGTTGTGGGATCTAAATTTTTGGTGGTCTCAGTCATCTTCTGCTGTGTTCCCTTTGATTGTGTGAAGTCTCTACTTTCTGTTATATGTTTCTGGGGAAGGCGTTTAGATGAACAGTGAGTGAGAAGAAAACAGTTCAAGAAGTGAAAAAATTCAAAGCAGTGATAGCAATAGAAAAGTTACTGGAGAAAAGATTCAGAGTCTGTGTTAGAATATGCAAATTATATATTACTTTTATCCTGATACATTTTAGCCTTCCCAAATATTTTGTAGGATTGATTGGGGTCCATCTTTAACCCTCATAGCAACTGCTCTTCAGAATTTTAGCAAAGGCAGGCTTTTCAGTGCGTTCCAACAGTTTCAATCTGATGGCCTACCTTTCTGTCATGGAATAAATAAGTTTGAGAATGAGAGGGCAGATAGATAGTCATAGGAAAGGAAAACAGTAATTTTGTTTCCCTCCCACCATTACCCATACCCACCTACAGATTTCCCATGGCCATGTGAAATGTGAGTGATGTGATAGTTGAAATTTTTTAAAGCATGGTAGCACCATAAATAAAACAAAACCAACACAAAACACCACTCGAACTTGTTTTTCATCTCTCAGACCAGACTAAGAATGGGAGCAAATAAAGTGCAAGAATTCTGTGGAAGTGAATTGATTCATTCGACAGATATTCATGCAGCTCCTGTTATGTAGTTTGATGCAGGGGAGAGAGTGCTAGATGTATACTCAGAGGACCTGTTTTCAAATCATCTTGGCTTGGGTCACTTACCTGAGGGACTTTAGCCAAGGCCTTTAATCTCTGTGGGTCTCAGTTCCCTCATCTGTAAAATAAGAGATTAGACGAGATGCTTTCTAAAGTCTTATATAAATTAATCTATGATCCTATAGGTCCTATATGCAAAACAATGGGCTAAGTGTTATGGAGTATTCAAAGAAGGATAAGACAGCCCTTGCTCTCTGTTGTCTAATAGGGAAAATTGTGTAATTCCACAACAATTAAAATATGAGCTAGAATGTTTAAATGTAGTACAAACATAATGGTTGGGGGATTCAAAGAAGGGAGAAATTATTTTTTTGTGTGGGATGGATCGGGGAAGACTTCTGAGAGGAAGTGATTAGCTCAAAGAGATTATAGGCTAGGGGCCAAGGAAAAATCTGGGCATTAAATTGGTGATTTCCCTCTTTCTCCTCCATCAGGTTAGGTAAGTTCAGCGTGGCAAAATTAGAAAGTAGAATTAGTTGTTGTTGTTTTTAATTGCATCTTGACTAAATTAGGCTACTTTAAAGACAGAAATTCTCTGGGATATAGATATAGGAGATTTCAGAAGGAAATGTTTCCTGTGCTCTTAACCAATTTAGAAACATTCATTAGATATAAACAGTTGATTTACTAATTAAAATTCTTCTCATCTTTTCATTAACCATACCACTAATGATTTCTTTAATATTCTTCATTCTGTTAGCTTGTAGGTACTTGAAATCAGGTAAATCACATTACTTTTAAAAATCATCTATACTTTAGATTTTATATATTCATTGATTGGACCTTCCCTTAAATTAGTCTGAATTAGAGATGTTTGACTTTATATGTGGTATGTACTTTCTTGAATGAAACAAAAAGTCATACTGTGTGCCCTTTCGTAAATTGTTCCTTATGTAGAGAGTCCCTTCTTTGAAGTGAATGTAAAATAACTTGCCAATTCTTTTTTAAAAAGTTTTCTTTTCCTTGTTCCACTTGGTGAAAAAGAAAAATGTGATTGTAGTTTCTGATTGTTAAAAAATTGACCAGGAGGAAATAATTATAATGGGAATAAAATTCATCCTTCTCTATCAGTGATAATTTAAATTTAATGTCCATCATCTATTTTTAAAAGTCTAGCCCTTTAGTCTTCTCATCTTTTTTTTTTTATCATTGGCTACTCTGCAATAGCCATACAAGACAAATATCTGTCAAGAACTTTATACAATGCTTTTGTTTTAAAGCATGTATAAAACAATTTAGGAACTAGATCAACTTTGCTTCTTGATTCTTAACTTAAAATTATATATAAATGTATGTGTGTATACATATGTGTATTCATATATGTACAAAAGTATGTATATATGTATAAAGAGTCCGAGAAATCTTTGCAAGGCATCTGTGGTTTCATTTTTCAGGGGTTTGACATAAAACATTAATTTGATTGGATTTTTCCCCCCACTGTGTCTTACTGAACTACTGGAGAAAGGAGTTATAGATCTCATGCTGTCTGTTCTCTTCCCACTTTCAGGAGCTTGAGAAATATTTTCATTATTTTAAACTTCACTATAACTGTATACACTGGTATAAGCCAGAGACATAGGAACACTGTGTTGTCTTTGTAATTATACTCTTACTATGCCATGTTTCCTGTTGCTCTTCAACTGAAATTTGGAGAAATGAATCTTTTCTTTTTCCCAGGCATATGAATGAAACCCTGAGCTCCTTCTTTCCACACTTCAAAAACACTCAGGAAAATTTACCCCATTTGCTTTGCTGAAGAGCTTCTTTCAGTGTGTATAGGCAATCCATAATAATGTCTTTGGGTAGTTGGGAGGGTTTCTCCCTCCCAGTGAGTCTATTAATTTTAATGTTTGTACAGGTCATCAGGAAACATAATCTCCTTTTTATTTTATTTTATTTTTTAATTTCTCAGTGAGCGTACCTAAGGGGAAAGACAAGCCCAAGAGAGAAGACAAAGCAGAAAGCAATTGAACGTCCCAAGTGGCTGCGACCCAGGGAAAGGATGCTGGCTACCGAATGGTTCATTAGAACTACATTTTAGAAAGGGAAACAGTCTCAGCGGGACAGCTTCCGTGGCTTCCAGATTCACCATGGCCCTGATTCTCTGGTTGGACGGCTGAAGTCACTGTGGGTCCAATACTTGCTTTTTGTCTTTGGCCGGTCTCTTGGTACCATCTGCTCACAGGATCTGGTGGGAATCATATGCTACCAAAGGTTGGAATCCAGAGAGAGATGGACTCTGACAAGCTAAAATGGAAGTAACTTGACAGCTTCAATCCCTCCAGTTGCCTCTTGTAAGGACAAGTTGAAAGTGGGAACACAAACGTGTCTGGGAGAGCAGTATGCAGGAAGCTGGTTTTCAGGCCACAAACGCTTTCACAGGTGAGGTTCCTGCACTGTGAGTAAGTTGAGAGTTGGTGAACTTTTTGTTATGTGCAACCGAAGTACTGCAAAAATGAATGTCCCAGCACACATTTGGACCATGAATTTTAGGAGATATATGAAGGTGAAGGGTACAAGCAAATAGGGTGACCTTTTTCCCCCAGGAAGTAATACTATATTTTTGTTTTCACCTCACATATTAGCCTGAGGAGGGGTCCCTGCATTTTATGATTCTATATAAAATATCCTGAAGTACATACTACAGAAATATTCTTCTCCATTCTGTAAAGGAAATGTGTTACCAGAAAAGACAGGGTGGGTATTTTCCTTCATAGAGTAAAATCTCCCCTCCCCCAAATTAATTGCTGGCAAGTAATTTTCCCTTCTCTCATCTTTTTTTTATCCTTAGTTTATTTCCTCAGTTTTATTAGTGAGCAAATGGGGGAAAATTGGCTGCTCTAGCCTTCCAGTTATAATCATTCTTGAATAAATGAGGTCATTGTTAAAGCTGTACATCACAATTTTATTTTAATTCAGTCCATTTTAATTCCACCCTAGATACCAATTTTCACATTTTGTAGAGCCACCATTTGTTCTGAATGATGCCCAGAGCAATGGGCTGAGAGACACAGGAGCTTTGGAATTCAGACCCTGGCTTGGTTTCTGGTTCCCTGAATATCTCAGAAATGTCACTCTGTATTTCTAGCGCCTCATTTATTGATGCATCCCAGAGAGAGCTGAACTGAAGAATTGTTTGCATAATAATAGTAAAAAAGAAAAAAAAGTTTTAGTCCCAATAATCGTGAAGTTTGGGGGTGATTGATTCATTGAAAGATACCTACCCTTGTGATATTGACAATGAGGCATCTTAGATATCAGCCTTCCTATTTTGTACAGGGCTGAAACTTAGCTTATTTTTGAACCTCTTACTGGGCAGATAAATCATTCTTAAGGAGTTGTTCCAAAATGAATTTTTTTTTTTATTAAGGGATGCTAGGAAGTTGGGTTTCTTCAGAAACTCCTGAAAAGTCCCCTTGTTGAGTTCTGTCTTCCTTCAATGATCAATTTCAGCTGTCCCATTCAGTCGGTCACTCAAACATTTGTTAAGTCCCTACTATGTGCCAGGCACTGTGCTATGTACTGGAAATACAAAATTAAGCAAAAAAAAAAATCCCTACCCTCAATGAGCTCACAATCTAATGGGAGAGACAACATTCATGGGTTTTGTAAAATGTCAGCATCTCTAGGGCATGCATTCATCAGTTCAGTGCCACAAATATTATTATTAAGTGTTTATTAAGTTCATGTTTGCTTAATTTGAATCTGATGTCTTTTATGTGCAGAATGCTGCACAAGGTGCTAAAGATGATCAAAAGTTTAGATAGCCATGGCTCTGGTCCTCAGGAACTTAGAGTCTAATGGGAGATATCACATATACACTAATAACTATGATACAAAATAATAAATCAAAGGGGCACAAAGCAAGATACTGTGTGAAGTGGGGAGGGGGAATGAGCATTACTGATGGGGAGGGATAAGAATTAACATCATAAAGAAGGAGATATTTGAGTTGGGCTTATAGCAGGAATAAGCAGTTCAGTGGAAGAAGAGGGGGATAGTCCAACTGCAGGAGATATTATGAGTTAAGTCTCAGTTGTGGGAAAGCTCAGGGACTATTTAGGACATAGAGAATAGTTTAATTTGGTTGGAGCAGATTGTGGAGCAATTCTTAGTTACCAACCAGACTTCATTCCCATAACTTTTTTGGCTGCTAAAGTATGTATACCTGCTTGAACCTGCTCTCTTTATGCTCCAATCCAGAAGCTTCCCTGGCATCTATTAACTAAATTTTGCTGGAGTAAATTCTCCTTGTTGCTGTGGCTTAACCATGGAGTCATCTCCCTACAAGAGTTTCTACCTTCTAGTCTTTCATGATGGCCTTTTAGGAATACTCACATTTCCTTTTGTTCTAAGCCTCCCTTATGCATTCTTTTCACATACAAAGTTTCTCTAAAAGTCTCTTTTTTTCTTAACAACTCTTCTACATGCCCCAAACCCAGTACTATCAGCTCAGCTGATTGCCTTAGAGCTCAGATTCACGTGTGCAGTTCCCATTGTCTTCTTCAACAAATATTAGCATAAATATTAGCAAATCTAAAATCCAATTACGTTTTTATTACACTGGCCTCAGATAGATTGGGGTTACTTTCAAGCCATATGGGAACCAAGTTAGGATGGTGGTTTGTTTTATTTTTATTTTTTTACCTCATGGATCTTGAAACCATTACTTGCCCTATTTTCTTTCAACTACTAATAATGCCTTGCACATAGTAGGCTTAATAAACATTTGTTGAGTGTTTAATGGAGAGCTATACCTCATGCTTGGCCTTTACAAATCTGTTAGCCAGTCCTGGAGAGTGGTAGGTAGGATATAGTATTGGCTTTTAGTGAATTCTTGAAGAAAGTATGTAACCAGACTCATTTATTCAGCATAAGTAGTAGTATTGACTAATAATCACACACATGCACACATGTGCGTGCGTGCACACACACACACACACACACACATAAAGATGGACTGAGGGGAAGAGAAAAGAAGATAGATGAAGAAAAAAGGAGAGAGAGAGAGAAAGAGAGAACACTATTTATTTTAGTCCAGTAAATAAGTGCAAAAATTTATCATCTCACCAAAAAAAATGTTTTTAGCTTTCAACCATCCTTTAAGAAAATAGCTGGGAAGTAAAATAAAAGAAACTCCATTATTTCTCAGTTGGCTGACATTGTTATTCACTTCAGGTGAGTGTTTTTTTTGGCAGGGATGATCTTTTTTCCTTTGGTACCTTTTCTTCTTTCTTTTATCTGCCTCCTTAGTTTTAAAAAGTTATCTGTTTTATAAGGTGAAAATACTGGCCATCTTCCTGTATCAACAACCCAGTGTGATGACAACTGATTGAAACTATCCCAGGAACATTTCTTACAGAAGGGAAGCAATAAGAGGGTGGTGCACATCACCTTGAGAGATTTATTATTCTTTACTTGCCTTTGACTTTGACCTTTATTTATCCTGAGGGAACAAGGGATGCTCACGTCCTAGTTTCTGGGATTAGAGATACACTCAATTATTGATTAGGGGCAAATTGAAGAAAATAATAGCTTGTATGATACCAAATAGCAGAGAATATAATATTCACTTGGAGGGAGAGCTAACCTTGAAGCCAAGAAGGCTTGGGTTCAAATCCTGCCCTTGATACATACTGATTCTATGACCCTGGGCAGATCACTTAACCTCTCATTGCTCCAGGGGTGGGGAACCTGCGACCTCAAGTCCATATGTGACCTTTTGTCTGAATCTTGACATTGTGGTTTTTTTTTTTTGGTTGGGCAGTGGGGTTAAGTGACTTGCTCAGGGTCACACAGCTAGTAAGTATTATGTGTCTGAGGCTGGATTTGAACTCAGGTCCTCCTGAATCCAGGGCCAGTGCTCTATCCACTGTGCCCCCTAGCTGCTCCTCGAGTCTAAGTTTTACAGAGCAAATCCTTTTATTAAGGATTTATTAAGGATAGAGTCTAGACTACTCTCTATAAATTACAGAGAAGGTGACAACCTGAATTGGTAGAGGGATTCTTTCACCTTCATCCCCATCCAGAAAGTTCCCTACACTATGGAAATCACAGATCCAGTCCCTAATCCCTTGGAATATTTTATTCAGGATGAACCAAAAGTCACTGAGCCTTCAAAGTGTGCTTAGTTTGTACATGGAGAGGTAGCATGGAATGGTGTGAAGAATACTGTATTGCAGGTAGAAAAATTGGATCCAGGTGACACTTCTGATGTTTACTGGCTCTGTGACTTTATTTCAGAGTCTTGATTTTCTCATCTATGAGAAGGGAATAATCGCATTTGCATTACCTACTAATAGATTTGTAAGAAAATCTTTTCTAAATTGTGATGTGCTAAGGTGAACTATTGTTATAAATGACTGCAGTTAAAAGCAATGGCTTATTTTATGTTTTAGTTTTCTCATGTGTATATATATCTATATCTATATATACATAGCTATACAGAAGGATATATTACACATGTGTATATATGTATATATATTATATAATATTTCCATATAAGATCACACATAGTATAGAGGCTACGGATTGGTTTTAAGGTTGGTCAAAAAGAGCAGGATTCTAGGATTTCCACCTATGTGTGATTTTATTTGATTTGAAAAAGTGGGCTGAATTCTCTTATCAGTTAAGTGGCCGATAAAGGTAGCTCAGAATATGTGGAGCTGCTGAGGAAAGACAGCTGAGTTTTTAAAATTTGCTGTTGTCCATTAAATGGATAAACTGTATTTAGCTACTCAAAAGGCTTCACTTCCAGAACCAGTGATCCAAAATACTGGCTTCAGGTAGTAGGGTGAATTTTTTTTTAATGATGGGACATTCTTTGCCCTGTAACCAGGCTGTTTCTTTTAGGGTGATTTAGAAATTATTTTAATTTGATAAGCTCTCTCTTGAGACCCAGGAGATGTTTGTCGGTGACCAGTTTCAGGATGGAAGATACATAATGAATAGAGTATCTTCCATTATTCATCGGTGAAACAGAATAAGTAGTATTTACCTGAACCCTGGAGTATTGTGATAATCGGTCAACAAGTATTTATTTAAAGCATGGGGAGCCAGGTGGCACAGTGGATAGACTACCAGGCCTGAACTCATCTTGCTGAGTTTAAATACAGCCTCAGATACTAGCTGTGTGACCCTGGCAAAGTCATTTCACCCTGTTTTGCCTTAATTTCCTCATCTATAAAATGAAGCTGGAAAAGGAAATGGCAAACTACTCCAGTATCTTTGTTAAGAAAACCCCAAATAGGGTCACGAAGAGTCAGACATGACTGAAATGACTCACAAAATTTAAAGCATACCGTATGTCATGTGCTGCGCTAAGTGCTGAGAATACAAAGAAAGATTAAAAACTCCCTGTCCTCAAGGATAGTACATTCTAA